TTGAGCCTCTTTTCTTCCATTTAAGCCATTCAGACTATAACATTTGACAATTCCTTTCCCCGGAGTCTGTTGTATACCAATGCAGCCGCTTTTCGTTTGTGTGCTTTCTGCTCCAGTGGGATTTTGGGCAACAAAAACCACCGAGCTCTTCTTCACTGGATCACAAACTGCTTTCCAGAAATATTTTGGGACGATAACACGTTTGTTCAGTAAGACTGGCATTTGTTGATCATTTTTCAATATCATTGATATTCCACCTGAAAGAAAGATATCAACTAATATCTTCAAATGCCTATTTATTTTTCAAAACAAACATGGCGAATTTAGCGGTGCGGAAAGATTCCCATACTTGGTCGGGTTCAAATTCGATTGTCTCGAATACTTTTATGCAAATTATTAATGAGTAATAGCATTGTTTCTGGTGAAATTTGGATAAGCATGCACTCGTGAGTTTTTCAATGACCTCAAATATTTTGAGGTCTTTGAAAAACTCACTCGTGCGTGTTATATCCAAATTGCACCCTAAGCCATACTATTACCTATGCTAATTAGATGATGATCATGAAGATAATGACAATGATGAGAATAATGATGATAATGATATTGATTATATGGTGATGACGATGATATCGATGATAACTAGGAAGCGTAGGATCTTCCGGACTAATCCTCCATCGCTAGATCAAATGGTGATATCGACCTGATCATTTTCATTCTTTTACTATCTTTGTGCGAGACAGATAAAGAATATAATTGCTTCTAGTTTTTACCTGTTCCAGTGACGACATAAACCCTCCTGTTATTATCACCCGAGTAAGATCTCACAGCACGTTCTAAAACGGCCCAGTTTTGAGCATTGAACAGCTGCCATTGTGGTGCAATGTTCGTGTTGACCATTGTGAGTGCACGTTCTTCATCAGTGGTGAAATCAGCGTTTGGTGTAAGATGTCCTCGACTGTAAAAGTGCTCTTTCTTGCGGTCAAGGTTTGGAATTATATTTGCTTGACTGTGTGACCCGTAGTCTTCTTTCCAGTCTGACTGGCGTTTTGGAGCTTTAAATAATTACGAAAAATACAAAAATTACACTCACTGCTTTCCATATACTGATATAGCCAGCAATATCGGATATTTTCCGCGAAAAATAACACTTTGCACGCTATTTAATACCTGATTGTGTACAAATTATTAAAATGCGTGTAACATGGCCTATATACAATTCTTAGTTTTATTGTCCTCCAAAACCGATATACACACTGCGACCGGAGAGGCCGAGACTACACCAGCTAGCTGCACGGGCGTAAGCAACACAATATATAAAGTTTTTCGAGGTTCTAGAATACTACTAGTATACGTTTGGAGCAACATTGCCAGAAATGAGGGACATTTGAACTGCGCATCCTCGGAATTTAGTTAACAAAGATGGCGGACATACTATAGTAAAATGTATGGTTAGTTTAATATTATTCACATTTAAACGAGTTCAGTAACAGCTATATAATTTGCCGCCCTTCGTTGGACACGAAAAACACTTCGGTAGTCAAACAAAATACGTTTCATGCCGTAGTCTTACCTCCGTAAGGTTCCCACACTAATGCGATTCCAGTGTGATCTGGCTAGTGCTATGTATATTATTTAGTCCCATTTGCGCGTGAACGAGCACATTTAGCCGCCATTTCTGGTCGGCCGTATTTTCTGATGCAACTTGCCGCCCTCTCTTCGTACACGACACATTATCAAATATTACTTCTGTAATTTTCATAGTGCTCCGTCCCCGTTAGCAGGTTCCCATAAACGTTGAAAATCACGAAAATTAACTTCTAGACACGACGCAATATACGCGAGGTTTATATCGACGTCTATTAAAAAACGCTTCCGAGCCATGTTTTGTTTTGAATATATTGCGCCATTTTGGTATCAACAAGAAGCTCAGGAACCAGGCTTTATTATACGGTAGGACAGAAGGGGAAATCTATGTATCCAGAGGGGAGAATGTGCTGTATTTGACCACATATACAGCAAAGTATCCCGAGCTCCCTACTTACTAAGCGCTTTAGGGAGCGGTCATTATTTATGGCGGGGGGTGGCACCGAAGAGAAAAGGGTTGGGTAAACAAAATTTTGAGTGAGGAAAAGGTTGAGTAAATGAAAAACAAAACAACTCAAAGGTGGGGTAATAAAAATTTATTGTCAATTCCAAAGCACGACTCACTCAAATATTGAAGACTGAAAACTTCAAAGTCAACAGTCATATGTCAATACAATATGT